AAATCCCTCCCAGAACGGAAACATGAATTTTGGAAAAAAAAAACTCAAACAAATGAACAAACACCATAAATGATCCGGCCTTGATAGCTAAAAAGCAACTAAAAAAGGGGATATGTGAAAAAGTTCCTCTTTAATTTAAAAACCAATTAAATAACTAATTAATCCTTACTTTATTAATTTACATAGGCATAAAAATTACCTATGATTAAAAGAATTGGCATACAAAGTTGAACTCAATTTCCCAAACCAAACCAACCAGTCATGATTAATACCTGACCTGCAGAGATAAAAAAAATTATTTACAAAGAAACCCATCCCTGGCTAAAAATCTCAGAAAATAATTTATCTAAAAAGTAAATAAAAAAAAAAACAAAGTAGAAAAAACTAATTTGCTTAAATCCCTACTTAAAGACCTTTTTAAGATGGTGGGACACCAATGAACCAAATTACAAAACCACTATCCACAATTTGGGAAAACATGCAGTAGTGGGGAATCTGCTTCTGTCTCCTTGAACCCCAGTCGGCCTCGGCGGGTGGCCGCTCACACTGATCCTGGTTCTGCCGGAGGTTTCTTCCCGTTGAAAGGAAATTTTTACTCTCCACTATCGCTACAAGCATGCTTAGTGTGAGGGATTTCCTTCGAGTCAATGAATCGATGCAATCAACTGGTTTTCCTTAGATATAGAAAATTTTGAAGCAATTTGACTGTATGATCTGGAGAATGGTAAACCCTCTGAGATGACATGTTGTGAATTGGAGCTAAATAAATGAACTGAATTGAATTGAACCTCCTCCGTAGAAAACTGTGAACCAAGATTACGCCAAGAGCTGGTTAGGAGGCCACAGAACAATCTGGTGTCATATCTCATGCCATACAGCCCTCATAAGTTAAAATGCTGTATTAAGAAAAATAAATATGAGCAGGAATCAACTCATGGTAGTTTTTTAACTGACAAACACCAATACTGACCCAGTAAATACAAAGGCTAAAAGACTGGTTGATGCCATCAAAGGCTAAAAAAAAAAATTAAATCCAAGGTACATACTGTAAGTTTATCCTCTATTTTTATATTGTTCTTTTTTCTAAAAATTGTTTTTACTTTTTTTGTATAGCTTTGGCTAAACTTGCAACAACTTCATTTCTAAATCAACATTAAAGAAAACCTGCAAACTAAAAAAAGAACTGAATTGGTCTAAAATCAGCTACATATAAGGATATGCCAAAGGATATCCTTACATAATTTGGTGTGATGTCTTTACTAGAGGAGACATAACAGGGGCCAGGACCATTTCTACAGTGGCTCTGACCCCTGGTGGCCACTGTCTAGAACTACCCATAAGTCTGAAGCTCTGTATTATCTGTAAGTATATAGAGGTTATTTAGAAGTAACTTTGATATTAGACCTGTGCTGCAATAACTGTGCTTTATTGCTGATAAAAATTGGTGGATAGAGGTCAGCATAATCTGATTAACAGCTTGATTAATCTGCTTTCTTACAGGTTAATGATACCAAAGAGTATTTCCTTCTTTATCTTATCTGTTAAAGTTTTATGATGAGTGCTGTGATCAAGGTTAAGAACGTTAATATTAACTTGTNTTTACTAGAGGAGACATAACAGGGGCCATGACCATTTCTACAGTGGCTCTGACCCCTGGTGGCCACTGTCTAGAACTACCCATAAGTCTGAAGCTCTGTATTATCTGTAAGTATATAGAGGTTATTTAGAAGTAACTTTGATATTAGACCTGTGCTGCAATAACTGTGCTTTATTGCTGATAAAAATTGGTGGATAGAGGTCAGCATAATCTGATTAACAGCTTGATTAATCTGCTTTCTTACAGGTTAATGATACCAAAGAGTATTTCCTTCTTTATCTTATCTGTTAAAGTTTTATGATGAGTGCTGTGATCAAGGTTAAGAACGTTAATATTAACTTGTACAGAATAAAATGCAAAAAAAAAAAAAAATCTCAAATAAAACATAAAATACTTAACCTAAATGTATACAATTTTGTATAAAGTATTCAGGATTGATATTTCTTCATATCCTCATTGAAGGATTATTTTAGGAATTGCTCAGTATACCAAGCACTTACTGTGTCATTTAACTAAAATTAATTCAGTGTTAGAGAATTGATGTAAAGAGGTTGGCATTCTTTTAATTTGACCTGAAATGAATATTCATTAAAAATTTTTTTACTAAAATAAGATGAATTGAAATATTGTGGCACTTTACTGTTAGAAGATAAATCAGTTTTTCATTAAAGACCCAAATTTGCTGAAGGTAAAAATATTTGTTGCTTACAATCTTTTAAGACAACCCCTCTGAAAACTCACTGAGTGAAAAGTAGGACTTCTGCCTGCAAAGGACTCCGTTTCTTAAGGGGGATAGTCAGGAAAATTGTTGATATTACAAGAATTGTGGGTGGAACCACAGTCTCTATGGAGGTACTGTTTCCTCTGTTAAGTATATATAAAAAAAAGAAATTACTTTAAAACACTTGAGTGCAGTCTTTGCTGAATAAGTAAAAATTACATTTTCTTAACATAAATGTTGAAATAGATCCTACTTTGGTCAGCTTTATTTAATTTAGTCTCAGTCTAAATTATACGAAAATCAAAATTGGTCTTAGTCAAATTATGGTCATTTTTGTCTTTTTAATTATTTTAGTCAACACTGGGATTAATAGAACTTCTCCACACACTGCTTCTCTTTTTAACATACGTATCACACTGTAAGAAAAATAATTCTTCACACACAGCTTCTATTTTTTCTCTATTTTATTTATATAACACTGTGCAGAATAGAGCTTCTCCATAGACACACTGTAGGCGACTATCATCCAAAAATTTGTCACGGAGGAGAGCAGCGATCTGTTTGACGCGCTGAATCCAAGGAGGAAACGTAATGCTTTACTGCAGTTA